ACCCTCCTAGTGAGAAAGTTTCTCCTAATATTTAACTTCAACTTCTCTGGCTGCAACCTGAGCCCATTGCTCCTTGTCCTGTCATCTGCCCCAATGAGAACAGCCCAGCTCCATCCCCTTTGCAACCCCCCTGCAAGGAGTTGAAGGCTGCTATCAAATCCCCTGTCAGTCTTTTCATTATATTGACATACTGTTAATGTAGATTAAATATCTGCATTGCCCTCGACTTGCTACCTTATGATATTCTGATTAAGAAGCAATAATGGCACACAATGAATGTGGTGCACAGTCTCATGATGACTGTAGTTAACTATTGTCATCATCTACACACAAAACCTGGGAAATTCCCACCAGTGCCTGTTTATAAGAGCAGGTTAGACAAACATTGGAAATGTTTAGATAGGGATGATCGTGTCTTAAGCAGGGGCTTGGACTAAGTGACCCCATAATGGCTCCACCAGCTCCATTTCTCTGTGATACAATGAGGCTCAGTGGTGCCTTGTGTGAAGTCTCAAAATCATTTTGTGCTTCACCTGGACACCAACTATATAGCACAGAGCACCAACAAGACCCAAGACCTGGCCCAGGGCTACAACGGCCTCCTGTGCAAAGCTGAATCTCCAGCCCAGCTCTCACAGAGTCTACACCAGGGTTTGAACCCCAGAATCACCGTATCCCATGCTGCAGGGTTGTTTCCCGCTCTGCAGCCAATAGGTGAACTCAGTACAGGCTGCTCTGATTAAACCCTGTTCAATTTATTGCTTTGAGCATTGCAGGGTGCTGGGCCTTGTGCTGCCCCCTGAATTCAACCCTGCACATGGAGGTTGCAACAAGCTTCCATGAGTATGGGGTTGGGAACAGCGATATGGGGATGGCATATGGCAGAGATCCCAAGGACAGCAGAGAGATTGGTGTGGGCAGCCCGATGCTGATGTGGAAATCTGGTGGAGTTTGCTAAAAAAGAATCTCCTCCTGCCTCCAGACCTGGAAATTTGAGAAGCTTTTTGGAAAATTGCAGTGCATGCTCCATGAGCTAGTCCTTGGGAAGGAGTTGGGAGTGCACATGAAGTTTGGGGGTAGAAATGAGTGGAGGGGAGTGGGGTCTGTATTGAGTGGATTTCTGGGGAGGCAGAGGGGGTGCATGATTATATAGCGATGAGGAAACCCAAACACTTGCATTGATGGAGGTGTAGCTGCCAGGGACTCGGTGGGGGTGGGAAAGGACTATGGACATTGATTTGGGTTGGTTGGTGGGAGATGAATATCTGTCAATATCTTGGGGCACTGGATGTGTTTTTGAATGCTGGATCTGTTATTTTCTAAATTGGATGTATGAAAAAATAAAGTAAAAAAAAAAAACATTTAAAATGAGGGATTTCCCCCATTTCAGTGATTTACTTCACATTTTCACATACAATTCAAGGAAAACACCAGCTTCAGTCCCTTTCATCTCATTTTTTTTTCCTGCAGTGAGTTGGTGTTTCTCTCACCCACCACTGCTGTCTGAGCTCCTGGTCCCAGAGACCCCGAGCAACATCTCACTCTTGTTTTGTTGGAGCAACGGTCCTCCCATCAGCTCCTTCTGCAGAAGAGGGAAACAGCCTTAAACCTAGTGCCTTGCCCTGGCCGTCCCTAGCCATGCTGCTGCTTGGTTCTGGGAAGGCCCGATCCTATGGGTCCAGGATGGGCACTGTGGGGCATGGATATCAACCCCCAGCTAGTCACAAATGGACATGTCCTCATCCCCCTATACTAGTTCCCCAAGATCAAGGACAAGGTACTCTGTGGCCTTGGCCCAGTGTAGCTGATAGAGTTTGAAGTCCCTGGACACAGAGTTTGGTCTCTCATCTCACCTTCTCTGGTACCATGGGTGCCTCCACACCAAAGTTAAACCTTGTCTGTGCCAGACACTGTGCTGAGCCCAGGGCTGGGCTGGTCGCAGGGAGCCAGCACAGCCATGCTGTCTCACCTGCACTATCTGCTTCCTTTGGTTGGTTAATGTAGGTGCTCCAAGGCTGCATGCATGAGTGTGGTGTGCATGTTTCTCAAGAGCAGGGCAGTCTGGCCTGCCTCCTTGCTCATACAGTCATAGAAATCCTAGAGCAATGGAGCTGGAAGGGACCTCCAGAGGTCACAACTAGTGCAACCCCCTGCCTGAAGAAGGATCATCCCTGTCCAAACCAGCCCAGGCACAGGCATTGTGCAACCTCTTAGCAAGACGATACAGTCACCCCTGACACAACACCAGGCATCACACCTGAATCTGCTACAGGGAAAACAGGTGGACCATGGTGGCCAATGTCCTGCAGCTGCAACGGTTGTTCATAGATGCTCAAGAGATCCCAGGCAGAGGCCATGCCCCGGCTACAGAGGAAGCCAACAACCCCCGCCGTCCCAGTCCATATCAACCCACACAGTCCATATAGCTCCTGTCAATACGAGAGGAACTGTTCATCAATAAGGCACCTTATTACATGCAGCCTACCCTACTTCCACTCCTGGATGCTGCTGCCATGAGCAAAAGCTGTTACAAAACCTCTCTTGAGCCATTGCTGGAAAATGGTCCAGAGTTGCAGCAGAGAGTGATGCACTTGTGGGGGTTAATGCTTTCCCTGAATGGTTAGGAGGAACAGAGATCCCCAGGGTGATGAAGCCTCCCTCAACCCCTTCCTTCTCCCTCCCACATGCACCCCTGCTCTCATGGGCAACTGGACTCATCAGGAGCCTCTATAAGTGCTCGTGGTGATGAGCTCAGCATGCAGTCTTTCTGCAGGCCTGTCTGGAGAGAGCAGATAGCCCCTGCTGTCAGAGAGACATGGCTGAATCCAGCTCAGGTACCGGGGGCTCCAAGCACCCTTTCATGGGGAGGTGGGAGCCTGCCAGCACTGCAGGCCTGGGGCTGGGATGCTGCTCTGATCTCCTGCCCCAGAGATGGTGGGGGAAGGACCTCTAGGCTAAAGCAGCTCCAGTACGGTTATGGTCAGGACCCTGCCTTGTGCCTGCAGCAACCTCAACTTGAATCCAAGCCAGGGCATCATAAAATCATAGAGACTGAGGGTGGGCAGGGACCTGAGCAGGTCCCATGTAGTGCAACCCCCTGCTCCAAGCAGGACCAGCCCCAACTGCATCATCCCAGACAAGTCTTTGTCTAACCAGGTCTTAAACCCCTCCAAGGATGGAGACTGCACCACCTCTCTGGGTAGCCCACTCCAGTGCTTTACTACACTCCTAGTGAGAAAGTTTTTCCTAATATCCAATCTCAACTTCCCTTGGTGCAGCTTGAGCCTGCTGCTCCTTCTGTCCCCTGCCACCACTGAGAATAGTCCAGCTCCATCCTTTTTTGCAACCATCTTTTAGATGGTCTCAGTTTATTACCATATGCAGCTCTGGGATCTTTATTTCCCAAAGGACAAGCAGAAGCTGAAGGTGCAGAGGCAGGTGATAAGCTTCGGGCTGTTAAGGGAGGGAGGCATATGAGGAGAAGTTGAGAAAATGAGGCTTGGAGAAAAGGAGATTAAGCAGGGGAGGGTATGAGAGCAGTTCTCAAGTACTGGAGAGGCTGCCTTAAAGCTGCACGACTCCTCTCCTTTGCTGACAGAGGCAGGACCTGAGACTAAGGTAACGAGAAATGCTCAGCAGCCTGAGTCTGGTGATATGCAGGAGCGCAAAGCAAGAAAGCTCCACCACCAACGTGGTGAGGAAGATGATGAAGAGATGGCTTTGTGGACGTGGCAGGAGGCCAGAAAGGGGACTTGAGGCTCTCCTATTAGGATGCAATGCATGAAGGTGTGTTCCTGGTCCCCGAGCTGAAGAACAGACTGGAAGGTGTTTGCTTTTTCCCAAGCTTTGGGGCTTTGCTGGTTGCTACATGGGGTTGGGAAGGATTTTTTCCCCCTGCCCTGTTGCTACAGGGGCCCGGGTTTTGTTTTTAAGCCTTCCTCAGCAACATTGGGTGTTGACTGCAGCCAAGGCGGAGTTTTTGATGGGGCTGTGCCAATGGTCCTGCAAGGACCTCAACCTGGAGGTTTCTGGCTCGATCGTCTTGCCCGTTCTTTCAGGGTCAGCTGGGATTAGAAAGTGTTTCTCCTCCTAAACCTCAGATAGGCTCAGATATAATGGGTTTTGCCTTCCTCGGTAGTGGAGGTATGTCTCTCTCCTTCTCCCTTGGATCGCTTGAGTGCATTATAACAATCGTTGCAGTGGCAGGACAATGACAGCCCTCACCCCGCATGGTGTATTGAAGCGCTCTTGGTATTTTGGGGCAATATGCCTTGTAGCTGAATGGTAGGGTGGACTGTGTCATTTTAGGAGTAGGTTAGACAAGCAATTGGCTGGGTTGGTTTGGGCAGAGATGATCCTCCTTGAAGCAGGGGGTTGGACTGGATGACCTCCCAAGGTCCCTTCCAGCCCTGCTTTTCTATTATTCCCCAGCTCCCCTTTATACAGCCAAATATCTCATTGCCTTTTATAACAGTTTCAGCACTTGGATTAGCTCATTGTCATAGCCCTTTGCATGAGATGACCCAGTCAACCACCATTGTATGCTGCTTTCAGCATGAGTGTGTGTGCGCACATAAGAGTAGGTGTCTATATGTGCACATAGAAGGAAGACAGACCAAAATCTCTACAATGTGAACCCATCACTATTTTTTGGCTAATAAATAGTCACTGCCCTGTGCCAAAGATAACCTAGGTAAACTGCAGTTATATTCTGCTTCCCTTGTTGTATGTGTTTGTGCGTGTGTGTGTGTGTATTGGCATACAGAAAGTGTGTATGTAGGATGAAGGCAGACAGACTGAGAAGTGTGCAATTTGGACCCCAGGTGAGTTCTGCCGGAGCAGATTTTGGGATGACAGGGATGGTTCCTTGGTGCCAGAGCAAGACTTGGGTGAAATCTCCCAACCATCCCCTCTCCCTGGCATGTCCCTGAGCTCTCACTGTGCTGCTCTCCATCCCAGGGCTGTCCTTTGGGCACGGAGGCATATTTGCGCTGCTCCCCATGGCAGAGCCCAACAGCACCAACTCCCAGGCACCTTTCTTCCTCCTGAACAGCCTCCCAGGGTTGGAAGTGGCTCATGCCTGGCTCTCCATCACTTTCTCCTTCATGTTTGTCCTGGCGCTGCTGGGAAACAGCATGGTGCTGCTGGTGATCTGCGCAGAGCCGAGCCTCCATGAGCCCATGTACCTCTTCCTGGCCATGCTGGCTGCAGCCGACCTGGGCTTGGCCACCTCCACCTTCCTCTCCATGCTGAGGATATTCTGGTCCGGGGCCAGGGAGCTCAGCTCGAGTGCCTGCTTCACCCAGATGTTCTTCATCCACACATTCACGGATATCGAATTGGCCGTGATTCTGGCCATGGCCTTCGATCGCTACGTGGCCATCTCCAGTCCCCTGTGGTACGCCTCCCTCCTCACCAATGCCTTCATCACCAAGATCTGCCTGGCCATTGTGGTGAGAACCATCATCATCCAGGTCCCAATGCCCATCCTTCTAACCAGGCTGCATTTCAACGTGTCCAACCAGCTTGCCCACCCCTACTGCTTGCACCCGGACATCATCAAACGTGCCCATTCAGACACAAGGGTCAACAGCATCTATGGGCTCTTTGTGCTTCTCTCCACATTGGGATTAGACCTGCTCTCTGTCCTCTTTTCCTACATCCTCATCCTGAAGACTGTCCTCAGCATCGCGTCCCACCACCAGCGTCTCAAAGCCCTGAACACTTGTGTCTCCCACGTTTGTGCTGTCTTGCTGTTCTTCACTCCCATGATTTGCTTGTCCATGGTCCACCGATTTGGGAAGGACGTGTCCCCACAAGTCTATGTCCTCCTGGCCAATCTCGACTTCCTGGTCCCTCCCATGCTGAACCCCATCATCTACAGCGTGAGAACCAGAGCGATTCAGAGGAAAATCTGGGGGTTGTTCCACTGCAGGGTGGGCAGGAAACCTGGTGCAACTATTGTCCTGTAAAGCCTGTGTGACAGCCCTCAAAGCCCATCCTTAGTAGGGTTTAACCCTTGGACCTTCAGTGCCAAAGCACAGGCTCTTTCCACTTTGTCCGTCAGCAGTAGTAAGCTGCTGTCCTCCTTGCTCACCAGCTATTAGAGGGGGTCACATTTGGCCAGTATGTGTGACTTGAAAGAGAAACAGCCCAGGTAAAATTTTTAAAAAAATTTAAAAAGAAAGAAAGAAGCATCTCTATCTGTGCTACTACAACACACCCTCCATGGGATTGAACTGTAATTCCTCAGGTGTGCATAGAAGTGCCCGTTAGCCATTGAGGCCTTATAGACTTGGGCATCAGTAGGGATCATATAGATCTGGACGCTAGAAGGGTCTATATTATGAAACTCTCCTTGGCTTACCAACATGAAAGTGTGAACTACAGAATTTCATCTGGCAGTGCCTGGATGTTGATCCACAAGTGAAGTCCTTGGCATAGTTGAGATTAGAATAATCTATTCATCACTAAACCACTTAACAGATTATCTGAACTACAAAACATAAAGCATGGCAAAGTTTTGAATTAACTGTGAAAAATCAGAACTATTAGATATCAGCGTAAGACAGAGCACACAGAAAGAGATAAAACGTATAACTAGCAGTAGGTAACTATTTCAGTAGAATATTTAGGCTGAATTCTTTATAAAATGGTGGGACTTGTACTGCTCCAGTCGTGCTCATTGATTGAAAGAATGAAACTAGAATCAAAATATAACGTGTCTGGCAGATGTCAGGACAAGGAGCAATGGGCTCAAGTTGCAGCAAGGGAAGTTGAGGTTGGATATTAGGGAAAACGGTCTCACAAGGAAGATAGTAAAACACTGGAATGGGTGATTGAATCTCCATCCTTGGAGGTTTTGAAGACCTAGCTCAACGAAGCCTTGGCTGGGATGATGTAGTTGGGGCCGGTCCTACTTTGAGCAGGAGGCTGGACTAGATGGGACCTCCTGAGGTCCCTTCTCACCCTCATTTTGTATTATTCTATGTCATGGTTAGGTAGATTTCATAGACTTCATAGATGTCATAGACATTAAGGCTGGAAGAGACCTCAGAAGATCATCAAGTCCAGCTCCCTGCCCCAGGTGCAGGCAGTCAGCTAGGGTCAAAGGATCCCAGCAAGATAAGCATCCAAACATTTCTTAAAAGAGTCCAGAGTAGGTGCTTGCAGGTAGAAATGCATCAGTTAAAATTAATATTTTGGCTTAAATTTATTTCCTGTTCCAGACTTGATCTGTTCTAATGAATCTCTTAGATGAGCAACAGGGCGTGATAAATCAATTTCTTTCTGGTAATAAGAAAACAAGACTCGAAAATCCTTCCTGCAAAGGTTGTAGGAGACAGGTTCTTCCAAATATTAAGTCTTTCTAGCAAGCCAGGCAACACAGAAATGTGGTGTATGGGATAACACCAATTCACAGTAAGCACTGGGTAAAGGTAGAGCAAACACACCGTCCAACAATCATAGTTAGTATATTACCGCAACTGAAGCGATGTCTGAGAAGATATCAGCATCATCAAATGTACACATTTATTGAAAATAAATATATACTGTCTCTTTAAAATAATTAGTTTACTACAAGAGACAATAAAAAAACCCATTTTTTCCCAATACCTGCAAATGAGAGACTTCTCAACTCATCCCAAAAGAAAGGTAAGCCTCAGGAGAAATTTGACAGAATTTGATCACACCCATAAAAATGCATCGGCCTATTGTCTGTATTATATTAAGCAATATTTAAATTGCCATAAGCGGGGGGCAGGGGTAAAGGAAACATGGTTTATGACAAAATGGGCTATTGACATTGGCTCAGAAACTCGAGCTGAAGAATGAGAGATCATCTGGATCAATGGTCCTGACACATCTGTATGCAAGACAATAAAAGACAATTATTTGTAACTCCTATATCCATCATATCTCACCTCAGTTCAGCATAGGTATGGTACAGGAACAGGTAACTGTTGGAGGGAGTGCCATCAGTTGGGTGAATTCCACTATATATGATATCCATTCAGATACTAGTCCATCATATATGGACTAATAAAAAACAGATGGTTGCTTAGAAATTTGGTGGAAGTTCTTAGAATATGCTCAAAAAGGATCTTTTCCTGTCTCTGCCTCTGTTGTCAAACCTTTTCTGCGTATTGAAGGAGAGTGCAAGCTGTGAGAGCTAATAGTTAAGAATAAATTTGGAAGAGATTTGAAACCTTAAAGCAGAGATGGGTCGAAGATAGTGGGTTCTGCATTATGCAGCGTTCTGAGGACAAAAGGAGTGAATTATTAAGCAGGTTACATATAGAGATGAAGAAACACAAGTTTAGGATGGACTGTGAAATGCAAAGGTGTCAGGGACTGAAAGGAAGAGAAGAAAAGAGCACATGACTCTGCTCTATGGACATTGGCTCGGGTTAAAGGTGCACTGGTGATGGAAGATCAACAAATAAAGTTAATAAATATCGTATTGTATCGTATCATGTTGTGTTGTGTTGTAGTGTAGTATTATATTGTATTGTATTATAGATTCATAGATTCATCTTCACAAACCCCCAGAAGATCATCGGGTCCAGCTCCCCTGCACCAAGCAGGAAAGACAAATGGGGGTCAGGTGAGCCCAGAAAGGTGGGCTCACCTGACCCCCAGC